CGGCCGTCTCCCACCGAGGCAGGGTGACCCAAAAAAGAAAGAAAATCCCCAAAAAGAAAATACTTTCATCATCATTTAACACTTTCCCCTCACTCACACATAATCACTGTTTTTGCAGAGGTGCTCAGAACTCAACAGCTTAGAAGCATATACATGTACCTATAAAGATACACAACATATCCCTCCAAACTGCTAATATCCCGAACCCCTCCTTTAGAGTGCAAACATTGTACTTCCCATTTCCAGGACTCAAGTCCGGCTATATAAAAATGACCGGTTTCCCTGAATCCCTTCACTAAATATTACCCTGCTCACACTCAAACAGATCGTCAGGTCCCAAATACCATTCATCTCCATTCACTCCTATCTAACACGCTCACGCACGCTTGCTGGAAGTCCAAGCCATTCGCCCACAAAACCTCCTTTACCCCCTCCCCCCAACCTTTTCGAGGATGACCCCTACCCCGCCTTCCTTCCCCTACAGATGTATACGCTCTCCATGTCATTCTACTTTGATCCATTCTCTCTAAATGACCAAACCACCTCAACCCCTCTTCAGCCCTCTGACTATTACTTTTATTAACTCCACACCTTCTCCTAATTTCCACACTCCAAATTTTCGCATAATATTACACCCTACATTGCCCCTTTGACAGGGTTCTCCACTGCCTCCCACCCCCCTCCCGCTGCCCGCATCCCCAAACCCCGCTTCACACCCTTTTAAAAAGGGGTTGGGACTACTATACTTTTATACATTTCCCCTTTTTTGCCTCCAAATTTTTAACAATTTTTTTTCTCCCCCATATACCTCAATGCACCACTCAAATTTTTTCCCCCCATCAATTTTTATGATTAACCTCAATTTTTCATAAAATTTCCCTCTGCCGACCCCCCATAAAATCCCAATTTTCTGAAAACATTCACTTCTTTCCCTACTCCTCCCCCCCCCAATTTTTATTCCAATTTTTTTTTTATCTAAATCATTGTAAACCCCCATTTTCCCCTTTTTTTTTTTTTATGTTCTTTTCAAAACCAAATTTAAAAAAACCCCCAAATTTTTCTAACCTTCGCCCAATTTTTTTTTTAGAATCTCCCTTTTAGCAAAGTAACATCAGCAAAAAAAAACTGTTTCAATTCCCATTTTGTTTTTTGATTCCCCCTAATTTATTCCCCCCCCTCTCCCGAACACCCAGCATTTACTTTTTTTAAAAACCCCCTCTAAAAAATATTAAACAACCATTTGGTTTACAATACAAAATTCCCCGTCTAAAAACCAAATTTTTAACCCGGAAAATAGCTCCCTCTCTTCTACACACCCTAACCTGAGCGGGCACAAAAATCAAAAAAACCCCTTAACCCGCATTTAGAAACTTACCAAAATTTCCATATAAAAATTAAACAAACTGCCCCATTGCCTTCCCCCATCCACTCTATTTATAGGGCCCTTTTTTAAATCCAAAAAAGCAATAAAAAAATTCCCCCACCTTTTTTTTAAATTTCTGTTCACATATATGCCCCAATGTAAACACTTTATCTACACCCTCCCCCAACCCCCCTTGAAACCTCCTTGCTCTTCCCCAATTTTCCCACATAATGTCTTACCTATAATTCTTCAGTTATAAAACCCCCCAAAACTTTTTCCTTGTAAAAACTGTAAATTATTCCCTTTTAATTTTTAAAAATCTTTTTGTCCCCCCTTCCCCTTTTTATAAAGGGGCTATACATGGGTCTCGCCAACCCTAGGTACCTTTCCCCTCTTTTTATACATTTTATTAAAAAAAAAAATTTCCAACCCCCTCCAAACTATATTTTCCCCCCGCTTTTAACAATTTTGTCATGAAACCCATCAGTTTTCCCGCTGCTTTTTTTTCCCCCTTTTTATTCTACGGGAATGCCTCATTTCACCTCCACCCCCCCCCACACCCCTGTTTTCTTTAACCCCCAAAAAAAACCCCCCCCCCCCCCTACCTCCCTGGCCCCCGGGCAGAAATTACCCCCCTTCCCTTTTTTCCTCGAAAATTTAAAAGTTCCTCAAAATATTCTCGCCATCTACCCAAAACCTCCATCTTTCCCCCTCTACAAAATCCCCTACTCTGTTTTTAACTGACAAACCATTCGTTCTCTGGCTTTCCCCTTAAATTTTTTCAACACAATCCCAAAAATTTTTTTTTTTTTTTCAATTTAAAAAATTTTTTTGGGCAGTGCCTTTTCCCACTCTATCATTGCCCCCCTTTTGCACCTCTCACCACCACTTTTTCCTTTCTTTTTCTCCCCCCAAAAACTCTAAATCCCCCTTCCCCTTAAAAACAACCCCCCTGCTTTTTAAAAACCTTTTCCCTAAGGGTAAAATTTTTTCTTTTAAACCCACCCTTTTCTTATCATTCCACCAAAACCCCCCCCTCATTTTTTCCCCCCTGCCCCCTCTCTTTTAAAACCAAAAAAACTTTGCCCCACTTTAAAATTTAAAACTGCATTTTTAAAAATATTTCCAACCCTTCAAACCCCCCACTACCATACTTGAAACCCGCCAACCTTTCTGCCAATTTGTTCTTATATCTTTTCCCCAACTTTTTCCCCCCCCTTTTTTATAACCCCTTTTTACCTCCCTCTTGCTTTTTGTTGCCATTTTCCCTTTTCCCATCTTTCCCCTTAGTCAAAATGTAGGGTTTTAAACAAAAAAAGATCCCTAATATTTTTTTTTCAGTTGGGCCCCCCTTTAAAAACCAAAATTTTCATTTTCCCGGGGCCTACCCATCAACCTTTTATCCCCCAAATACAAATTAAAAAAAAAAAACTACTTTTATTTTCTGCTATATCCCTTTCCTTTATATTTATTTTCCCTTTTCTTCATAAAATTGTAATTTTCTTTTTTACCAAACCTCTTCTACACATAGCCCCAAAATTTTAAAGGGTCCCCTTTTTCATTTAACCCCTTTGGGACCCCCAAATTTCCTACTGCTTCCTCCCCAAAAATTTTTTCCCACTTTTCACGAATCCCTAACCACCTTACTCTCACAGTTTTTTTTGAAAATTCCCTGCATTCACTCAACATTCCCCCAAAAAACCCTCTCCCCCTTCCTTACACTTTTTCTTTCTCCCAAAGGGGCCCAAAACACTTACTAAAACCCACTTTTACTTTTATCCATTTTTTTTTACCCCACATCAACCTTTAAATTTAAAACCTTTGTGTCCCTCTTTTTCCTGCCAAACTTATTTCCCTTTTAACCCTTAAATTTTTCCCACCCTTCTTTGCTTAAAACCCCTGTTTGAAACCCCCGACCTAATCCTATTTATTCCTCTCCCCCTGAAATCTCCCAACCCCTTTTAGCTTTGTTTCACTTTAAAGCCGTACATCTAGCTGCTTCCCCATTCATAACATCCAACCAAACATCTCTTTCTTTTTCCTTTTCCCCAACATCCATGCAATTAAAACTTTCCCCCCTTTTACAATTTTTCTTCTTAATTTTTTTAGGGAATTTTAAAAGGGGAAAAGGGGGTTTCTAGCCCATTGTTCCCCCCGGGATTTTAAATTGACTTTTACAAAAAGCATTGGGTTACGGAGGAAAGAATTTTTATTCCACTTCCCCTTTGGGTATAAAAGGAAAAACAATAAAACCAAAAAACTTTAAGAAAAATAAAGAAAACTCAGAGATGTGTAAAAAAATAAACATTAAACCCCACCATCCGGGCTTACCCCGAAATTTTGGTTTTTTCCCAAAAAAAAACCGGGCGTAAGTTTGAAATGGTCGTTTAAATCGAATTTTATACTGAATATCCCCCCAAAACTTTTTGTAATGACTTTTTTTATTTTTTTATTTGGTATTTCATGTTTTACTTTCTTTTTTATGCTGTTAGTACTGTATTTTTATACTGTAAGTTTTAAAGGATAAAGACTGTGTACATCACAAATAGTTGTTTTTTTCCCAGAAATTTGGCAAAAAAAAAACGGTCGTAAGTCAAGTGGTAGTAAGTCGAGCAGGTCGTAAGTCGGATGGTAGGTGTACATGCATGTGTAGTGTGACCTAAGTGTAAGTAGAAGTAGCAAGACGTACCTGTAATTTTGCATGTTTATGAGACAGACAAAAAGACACCAGCAATCCTACCATCATGTAAAACAATTACAGGCTTTCGTTTCACACTCACTTGGCAGGATGGTAGTATCCCCCTGGGTGGTTGCTGTCTTTCCCAAACTACTACCTACCCAAAACTATTATCCAGAGGGCTGAGTGGGGTTATTGATGTGGTTCGACATGTAGAGAGGATGAACAAAATAGAATGACTCGAGAGTGTATACATCTGTAGTGAGGAAGACCGGGTAGAATTGGCCTACGAAAGGTTGAGGAGGGGGTAAAGAAGTTTTATGTGCGAGGGGTTTGGACTTCCAGCAGGCATGCGTGAGTGTGTTAGATAAAAGTGAATGGAGACAAATGGTTTTTAGGACTCGACATGCTGTTGGAGTGTGAGCAGGGTAATATTTATGAAGGGATTCGGGAAACCGGCAGGCCGGACTTGAGTCCTGGAGATGGGAAGTACAGTGCCTGCACTCTGAAGGAGGGGTGTTAATGTTGCAGTTTTATAACTGTAGTGTAAGTGCACCTCTGGTAAGACAGTTATGGAATGAATGATTGTGAAAGTTTTTCTTTTTTGGGCCACCCTGCCTTGGTGGGAAATGGCCGATGTGTTAATAAAAAATAATAAAAATAAAAAAATAATGTATGAAATAAAATATAGTAGTACTGTATGTGCAGAGATAATGAATGAAGTAGAACAGTGAAAGTACTGATACTTAATTAACATTGGCATTGCAGAGATCTATGGAATTTACTGTTTATAGTAGTTATTCATATCTTGACCATTTAAGACTTGAATGATAGATGAAAACCTAGGTAATTAGCTGATGCAATATGTGTTTCATATCATTAATTTATATCATTTGGCATAGATTATTTATCTGCAGTTATACTTTTAAAATTAAATATTGTTTGCTATTCATGATTTAGATTGTCACCCCAAACTGGTTATGGAAATGTGCTGAACGGTGGGAACTGGTTGAAGAACAACTTTTTCCACTGAGCAAAGAAACAGAAAAAGAAATCCATAGACTTCCTCCACACCACTGCTTCTTTCCTGATCCTTCCTGGCTAAAGCACAACTCTGACACAGGTGAGTTAAAAACGTTGTTTGCAAGTAAGTTTGCGCAGAGGATACAAACTGAGGAGGCAGACAGTGTTTTACACTAGGCTCTTGATAAAAGCAAGCAGCTCACTCACAGTGAATGTACCAGAGAAGTATTTACAAGTCACATATTCATAAGTTCTGTATCAGTACTGCAGCCTGGTTGATCAGACCCTGATCCACCATGAGGCCTGATCTCAGACTAGGCTGTGGGGACGTTGATCCCCAAAACCCTCTCCAGGTAAACTCCAGGTATCACTTGGATGAAGACTTATAAAACAGTTGACTTTTGATAAACCAGTAGGGAAATGATTATACTACAAAAGCTTGCTTAATCTTATTGTAATTAGAAAATTACAGTGGACCCCCGCATACCGTTGGCATCACATAACATTAAATCCGCATAGCGATACATTTTATCACTAAAATTTTGCCTCGCATAGCGCTAAAAAACTCGCTCAACGCTATTCGTCTGAGACACGTCTATGTGAGGCCTGAGCCAGCCTCACATGTTCCGCCGGTGGCATTGTTTACAAGCCAGCCTCCGCGGTAACATCCAAGTATACAATCGGAATATTTCGTATTATTACAGCGTTTTTGGTGATTTTATCTGCAAAATAAGTGACCATGGGCCCCAAGAAAGCTTCTAGTGCCAACCCTGTGGTAAAAAGGGTGAGAAATATTATCGAAATACTGTGGTACCATGGTCAACTGCTGATGCTGCTGCTGCTGTAGCACTGTCAGCTGCTGCTGTTGCTGTAGCACCTTCAGCTGCTGCTGCTGCTGTACCACCATCAGCTGCTGCTGCTGCTGTAGTACTGTCTGCTGCTGCTGTAGCACTGTCTGCTGCTACTGTAGCACTGTCAGCTGCTGCTGTAGCACTGTCAGCTGCTGCTGCTGTAGCAGTCAGCTGCTGCTGCTGTAGCACTGTCAGCTGCTGCTGCTGTAGCACTGTCAGCTGCTGCTGCTGTAGCACTGTCAGCTGCTGCTGCTGTAGCACTGTCAGCTGCTGCTGCTGTAGCACTGTCAGCTGCTGCTGCTGTAGCACTGTCAGCTGCTGCTGTACCACCATCAGCTGCTGCTGCTGCTGCTGTACCACCATCAGCTGCTGCTGCTGCTGCTGTACCACCATCAGCTGCTGCTGCTGCTGCTGTACCACCATCAGCTGCTGCTGTAGTACCGTCTGCTGCTGCTGTAGCACCGTCTGCTGCTGCTGTAGCACTGTCAGCTGCAGCTGTACCACCGTCAGTGGCTGCTGCTGCTGTAGTACCATCTGCTGCTGCTGTAGCACCGTCTGCTGCTGCTGTAGCACTGTCAGCTGCTGCTGCTACTGTAGCACTGTCAGCTGCTGCTGCTACTGTAGCACTGTCAGCTGCTGCTGCTGCTGCTACTGTAGCACTGTCAGCTGCTGCTGCTGCTGCTGTAGCACCGTTGTTGGTGTGGCTTATTGAGAATACCAAGAAACAACCCCAGAGGGTTAGCCACCCAGGATAACCCAAAAAAAGTCAGTGTCATCGAAGACTGTCTAACTTATTTCCATTGGGGTCCTTAATCTTGTCTCCCAGGATGCAACCCACACCAGTCGACTAACACCCAGGTGAACAGGGAAAAATGCCTGGAACTAGTGCTCATATTGGTGAATTTAAAGCCAGCAAAGGTTGGTTTGAGAGATTTAAGAATCGTAGTGGCATACACAGCGTGATAAGGCCTGTTCTGGAAGAAAATGTCAAACAGGACCTACAGTACTCAGGAGGAAAAGGCACTCCCAGGACACAGTGTCTCATCAGTCATTGCTTCATCTTCAATAAAGGTAAGTGTCATTTATTCTTCATTTAGTAGAGTAGTACATGCACAATATATATTGTGCATGTACTACTCTACTATTGTGCATGTATCCTTCTCTTTGTGTGTAGGAAAAAGTATATTTCATGTGGTAAAAATTTTTTTTTCATACTTTTGGGTGTCTTGCACAGATTAATTTGATTTCCATTATTTCTTATGGGGAAAATTCATTCGCATAACGATAATTTCGCATAACAATGAGCTCTCAGGAACAGATTAATATTGTTATGTGGGGGTCTACTGTATTCTACCTCCTTAACACAAATTGAATTCCAGACTGTTTTCAAATTCAAATTCAAAATTCAAATTCAAATTCAAAGTTTATTCTCTATAAAGATTACAATGTTGAATTTACAGAATTTGGTTGTTGTGTGGTTTACATGTAGTTAAATAATGATTACAGAGTGTACCACTAGAACGCCTAGCATGGCTAGGCATTTCGGGCAGACTTAGTTTAATTCTTTATTTTAAAATATTACAAATTATGAGGTAAGTTGGTATTATGGCTAAGTGGCTAAATACTAGTTTGTGAGTTTAGCAATGTGAATGCTTTTGTTTTGGCACAGTACATAGTTTCAGTATTGGAGTATCATAGGATTCATTATTTTAAGATTGAGATTAATATTTCTGTTTATGGTCAAATGGGTGAGTGAGTGTAAGTGTGAACCACCAGGTGGTATTCGTGTAGTTAGTTGATGGGGTTTATCAGGGAGATAAGATGTTTTCTAATGGTAGTTTTGAAGGTGTTGGGCTGCTAGGTCAGTATGATAGCCACTCTGCCAACTAAGTGTGAGAAAATGTGATACACATATGAATAACAGATGCAGAGGTGAATGTAACAAAAATGCATTGAAGAAATTTTTGCATTAGAAAAGAGTGACTGGTGTTATATGTTGTGATAATTCACATAGAAGATTTTACAATTACAATGGACCCTCGACTAACGATGGCATCATCTAACGTTAAATCCGACTAGCGATACATTTTAACGCAAAAATTTTGCCTCGACTAGCGCTAAAAAACTCGACCAACACGATTCGTTCCGTCTGAGACGTGTCCACTTGTGGCCAGTGTTTACAAGCCAGCCAGCCACCGCGGTCCCATCCAAACATACAGTCGGAACATTTCATATTATCACAGCGTTTTTAGTGATTGCACCTGCAAAATAAGTCACCATGGGCCCCAAGAAAGCTTCTAGTGCCAACTGAAAAATATGTGCAGGAATTCAAGGAGTACATAGACAGTCAAGGACTGAAACCTGAACAAGTGTTTAATTGTCACACTGACAACGTTGTGAAACATTTTAGGAATGTCATAAAGGAACGGGAGGTACAGGCCTCTATGGAAAGATATGTTGTGCGACAGAGGTCCAGTGACTCAAGCTGGTCCTAGTAGCATTAACCCTTAGAGGGTTTTGGACGTACTAGTACGGCTTACGCACAGGGGTTTTTGACGTACTAGTACGCATAAATTCTAGTGCTGTCAAATCTCGCGGGAAAAGGCTGGTAGGCCTAGATGTGAGAGAATTGGTCTGTGTGGTCGGTGTGCGCGGTAGAAAAAAAATCAGGGACCCAGTGGTGCATTGTGAGAATGCCATCTTAGTAAACAATGTCCACCATGCCTCGCAGTAAGAAGCTCCTCACTCCTCGGCGAATTGGGACACTTTTGTTCCCCAGTGACAGTTCTAATACAGATGGAAGTGCCAGTGAAGATGAGTTTCAAGGTTTTGGTGAGGTTTTGACCAAACTAATGACCATAAATC